ATTCTAGCAATGTGAATATTGGGAGGCATCAGAATCATTTGTCTACACAGTAGTGTCCCTAATTAAGAGCATCTTTCAGCATGGCCCCAGATCTGTGGCATTCACTGGGTCTTGTAACTCAAATGTGCTTCATTGAATGCCTTGAGACATATGTTTCAGCTTGTTTGGAATCATTTAAGCGCTTGATAATTCTCCCCTTTCTCTGTTGACATCTGGATAAATCCATTCTCATTTTCAGGCACTTTGTCTCCAATTTTAATAATGAAAGAGGCTTTGTCAAGAGATGCTTAGTGTTTGTTTACTCAGAGGAATATTAATATTTCTTCTTATTACTTGCATCATGGCTTCCCAGCAGTGGAAAGCTTTGAAAGTAAACATGCATAATAAACTGCCTTGATGAAGAACTCAAGTGAATCTAATCAATTATGATGAAACCAACTTGTGAAACTGTTGGGGTTGCTAATGTGAAAATAATTTAACTCTCTTAACAGTTTATTTAATAGGCACCATTTGAGTTTCTGCTTACAGTTAAGGCACTAAAATGCCTGTGTGGTATGATTTCTACACCTTCTCCCCCAGAAATTTATTGTCTAGCTCTGATCAAAAGAGGTAGGATTGCTGAGAGATAGATTTGCTTTGGCTGGCAGTAAGAAGATTAGACTAAGTGTGACCTCCCAGGAGAGATCACCATTCAAGTAGGCGATTCCCTTTTCTCATCTCTATCTATGCAGCCACAGCTGTCACTCTGAATTTCCCTCTTAACTTCCCTTTAGTGTTGTCCTCCATTATGAGTTGCACGTCTCAGATTCACAAAGCAATTTAGAAAGCAAAGCTACCCTCCTACATATTTAACACAGTGTTCAAAGACTGCACAAATGCTTGTCGAATAGTAACAAGAGCAGTTAACATTGATTGAGATTTTACTATGCACCAGACAATGTACTGACTTTTATATACAATCTTCACATCAGTTTAGGAGAGAAAATAAACTGTTAGGACCAAGACGGGGACATAATGTGTCAGTTAGGGACATTTTGATGGCAAATAACAAAAACTCAAGATCACCTCAAGATCATTTAAAGTTGGGAGAGAAATGGGAAATCATTGGAAGGTTATTGAGTGGTACTATGGAAACCAGAGGCAGGGATTGAATCCAGGGACCAAGGAAGTACTGTGATCAGGAAAGCTATTTGGAACATAGCAGGCAACCTCTCCTTGTTTGCCTTCCCTTGTTCCCTATTGCTGTTTCTCCCCATTCTTGTGATTCCTTCTCTATTGGTGCTTTTGGGGATGAGCATCCATGTGACACCCTGTGACTACACCACTATGCCAACCTCAACCTTTAAGTCTGCCTCACCCTGAGGGAAGAGCCCAGACTGAGCGGGGCAGCTAAATCTCAAATCCATATTCCAGGAAAACACCCTCACCACCTCTGATTAGATCAGGCATGCATGCCTGATTTAATCAGCCGGGCCTGGACATCGCTCACCTTGCAGATATGGCTGCTTGTGGCTCATGCCTGTGGACCAGGGCAGGCGCTCACTTCTCAGAAAAGAATATAAGCTCAGCAGTAACTCTTACCTGTGTTGGCTGAAAGTGGATAAGAATTTTTAATTGTAGAAGCAATATAACTTAATGATTGATTACATATGGCCATAAGAAAGAAGGAGGAATCAGAGATGACTCCAAGGGTTTTATACTGGGGACTATGAGAGTCAAAGAGAGAGCCCTTCCATTGCAGTTTTGGACAGTGGATGATGAGGGAGTGGAGGAGCCTGTGAAAGAATAATGTGAGGAAAGAGCCTCTCATGTCAAAAATACCCCATAACCCTGTCTAAAGTTTCTGGTTAGAATGGTGAGTTGGGAGTAATGGCTGCATAAGCTCACCTCTTCTGGTTTCCACATCCTCGCTCAGGGCTTCCTCATTCTGACATCTGTGGTTATGACAGCTCCACCTCTCCCCAAGGTGTGAAGATTTCTTTCTACAAACTTACCTACAGCATAAACATAATTCAAGATGAAAGAAACTCCTCCCTCCCCACATCCCCTGTCTAAGAGGGCAAAGAATGTGTTTATTCTTCACATTATTGTATTCCTTATCCTATTAATGGCATGGGAGGTTTGAAATGGGTAATAAATATAAAATAAATAAAGATTTTCAAAAAGATGTTTAAAAGATACTTGTGGAGGAAAAGGGAAATAAGTACAGAAAATACAACCAGCATGAAAATAACTAGTTTGTATTTTTAAAATAACTACAGGTTCTAGACCTAAAAGTAGGGTGACCAACTTGTCCCAGTTTGCCTGGGACTTTCCTGGTTTCCTCACTGAAGGTCCCGAGTCCTGGAAAACACACCAGCAACAAATAAGGATGATTCATCACACAGGCCCGTGTCATGTATCAACTAGTAGACTGGAAATGATTTCCTATCAAGGACAACTCAACTAGGCTTTTTGTTTGTTTGTTTGCTTTTTATGTTCATTCATTTATTTATTGAGGGGGGAGAGAGAGAGAGAGATGTCCTCGCAGGGTCTCTCCATGCTGTGGTCTTACCCTCAATCTCAGCCAGACAGGAACATAGACATATGTGGTTGTACATGGTATATTCAAAACAACCTGAGATCCAACCCCTGGCCTCCCATGTGGCTGTGGTATTATGTAGCAGTACCTTGGCACCATAGAAGGGTTCTCTACTCCTTGTCTTTACTTTGTTAACTGATAACTAAGATAGACCTAGATATTGTGTCATGAAAATGTAGAGTGATGGTTCAGCCTTGAAAAGGCAAACACTGGAAGAGAAAAAGATGAGTTATTTTGCTGTATTACAAACAAATAATATAATACACTGGTAATTAAATGCCTCTCTCTGAATCCAACTTTCCGATAGTAATGGTGTTGTCTAAGTGCCAAGTAAATCAAGGGCATGAGTAATCTGGACTGTAACCTACAGAGTGGCGATAGATATATATTTCAACATCCAAAGTTGGATATATTTTTTTCATATTGGGACACTCTGCTATTCATATTTAAGCCAGCACAATAGCCATAACCCGAGACTATTCCAGGCAAATAGTGACATATGGCTGTCTCACTCATATAAGAATTGATGGCCTGATAATTTATAAACTGACAGTGAGGGTACACCTTTTCTATCATAAAAAAATCCAGGCAGGGTTAATTTGTTTACTTCTTTTGGGCATTTGAGCTCTTCTATTTTCTATTTTAAGGTATTGATATAAATAACACATTTGTGACAAATGTGTTGCTCTATAAAGTTCTAAATCCATGTGTGCAATTTGAACATAAAGGAACTCAGAGAACAGTAGGACATTAGGGAGGTTAATAGATGCTGCAGGAGGCTAAGGAGGAAGTATTCTGAACCTCTGTTGCTCAGGTTACCTATCTCCAAATGATTCCAGGTCCTCCTTGTTCTTGGCATCTGCTGTTTCCTCCTATCTAGCGCCTGTTCCTTCACATCCTGTTTCGTACCTTTAAATATGCTAAGTTTTCCAGACTTGGAAGGAGATTTACACAGCTGTGTGATCTATGTCGTGACGTGAGCTTTTTATCTCTGGATGTTATATTAAGAACTACTTCTTAAAAATCTGTTAATCATGAGAGTATAAGTACATGGCACACACTAAAATAGACTCACCATGGAATGCAATGAAAGATAACTCCCTCCTTCTCCCACTCATCTCCTGTCCTCACTCCCTAGACAGAAATGTTCTTCTTCGGTATCTTTCCAGGAAATTTGTACACACAGGAACACATACGAATTTATGAGTACCTTCACTAAACCAAACATACTTCCTGAGCTCTACTGTTACTGAGTGCGATCTACCAGGAAGTCACACACACACACGGAGGGGGAGGATACAGTGCAATTTTCTCACAAACGCAGATTCACAACTTGTCTCCCTGACTACGGTGTCTCCCTATCCCAGTCTGCCAAGAATATGCTGCCAGAGCCATTTTCCTAAAAAACTGCTTTCCTCAGGTCCCTGCTCGGAGTCCATGTTTCCTATCATCTACATATAAATTTATTTGCCTAACTTTCAGAGTTTTCCTGTATTATGCTCCATTCTACCTATTCATATATCTAATAATACTGTTTTATTATTATCATGACAAATCCTAAGGTTGACTGCCCATCTGCAGAAAGGTCATTTTTGTCTTTTTCCTCTGAGAAATACCCCCTCAGTCCCGTTTGTTTTTGCTAGGACCTTTTCTTTTTGCACTTCAATCTGTATCCATAGTGAGTCCATTATATCTGCTCTTAGACTCCTGCCTCTGCCAGAAGGCTCACCTTTTGATTCTTTTGCTCTCCAATGTTAAAAATTTTTCTGAGTAACTTCTCCCCCTTTTCACCATATTGTGGGGGGTGGCAATAGTGCTCTACCTGCGTGCAGCTAAAGATTTTTTAAACCGCTTCTCCACTCCTGTCAGGGGACCTAATGTCCACAATGTGATGTTTCTTAGTATGAACCATCCTACCACCTGCGAAGGTCAGAAATCTGTGGTCCAACTTGCATTAGGACTTTCACTGACTGTAGGCACTTTTGTCTCTTGGGGGTTCTTTCTCTAGAAATAAATTTTAATATTTTAAACTTAGTAGGTATAAAGACAAGTATAATCTCATCTGGATTCATTATTATATATCATTAATATTATATTCATATTTTCTTCTCATGTTAAAAGAAATTAAAACCTTTTCAAGGACCCCAAAAAGCATCACAGGCCCTAAGCACTGTGCCTTTCATACTTAGTGGTAAGTCAGCCCTGCTAGAGTCAGATCTTCTTGAGCTCAATTTTTGTCATAAACTGGAGACATGACAGAGAGAAAGGGTGTAAGTAGTTCAAGGAAAATGTATCCTTTTTGGGTCTATCTAAAGGGAATGGTTTTTACTTTTAGAGCCTAATGCCCATTTCTACTTTTTAACCTGTCTTTTGCAGAGTGATTCCATTCAGCTCATTTTCAGGCCCAATCCCTTTTTGGTGGGTCATCTTCAGAAGGATGTATCTGTCAGAGTTTGGAGAAGCTGCAGCCTTCCTCAGAAGAAGTGAAGCTGAGTTGCTTCAGCTACAGGCCATGACCATTGATGGTAAGGCTTTTCGTGGCTGCTGACTTCTTTTGGCTCAAGTGCTACAAGATGGCAACAGATATTTGGTTGAAAGAAACCATCAATTTTGGAGCCTAACTTATTTGCTAAAGGTGCAATAACTGGCTATGAACTTCTGTCTCAGAGCAATAAAGGAACTCTGAGTATTCAAGGTAGAAATTGAGACATGCAGGGAAGAGAAGGATAGCCGAGAGGCAGCCCAGGTCTGACTACTTACTTGGCTTTAAGACAGGATTTCCCTTCAAGGAGCCAGTAATACAGACAGCCTAGGAGTGGCCATAAAGACTTTCTCAGTACAAAGAGGAGACTGTGGTCAACACAGGATGTGAGGTTTGTATTCTCTGAGAAAAGAGAAGTGCAAGGACTCTGGGAATAAGAGACTAGCAGGTGGTATAGTGAGTGGTCAGAGCACTGGACTCCCACATGGCTAACCATGGTTCAAATCCCAGACCTGACAGTTTGCTTTCACACTTTCCTTCTCTGTCTTCCTTTGGTGAGTGTGCATGCCCATAGCAAATTTTAAAATATAATAAAAAATAAAATAAATAATTCTTAAAAAATATTTTAAAAACACTCTGGGTAGGCTAGAGAACTAGATATTGTCTCTGATCCTCCCCAGAATTTCTTAATGTAGGACCCCTGTCCTTTGCCTGGTCTTATAGACCAGGAAGATCACTTAGCCAACATTAAACAAAAGACAATTAGGATTCTTGCTGACCCTGATTCATAATTTCTTGGTAGTTACAGACAAGGACAAAGGTTAAAATCCCTAAATATGTCTTTTTCCCCCCTTGCCCTTTGTCTGTCTGGGCTATGTGGACATCTTCTGAATTTCAGCTAATTAGAGACTTAGAAGTCAGATTCAGTGTGATCAAGCATCAAGCCACTTACATTTCTTAATTCCAAAATTATTCAACAATACAATATAAAAACTATCTGGATGTTGTTTTAGTATTCAGAATTAATCAACATTAGACTTTAATATGACCAATTATAATTTAAACCCATTATGTAGGACATTATATTTCCATCACAGACCAGTCCTGGAGCAGTTCCCAGTTTCCAGTCATTAGATTTCATTACTATGATTGGATTTTAGAGGAGTTAATTATAATCCCTCAAATCAAATACAATAACAAAACTATCTCTGAGGTCAGAAGTGGTCATGCAGAGGTTTATCACAGGTAGATAGATAACTAAGGACAAGATGATAGTGGTGTTGGGAGAAAATAAAAATCAGGTCAAACAATTAGAAGTAATTGGATGATCCATTTAGTAGAATCAGCACTGTAAATAATTACTTAAAATATAGCAATCTGCATAATTTTTAATTTGGGGGGAAACAATCTTTCCTTATAGAAATGCACTGGCAACAAACAGATGAGAGTCAGCCCAAGTTTTTCATACTCCTAGGCCAGGACACAAGGCAGCTTGGGGTTTGAACTCAGGTCAAATGGAAGCAATCTGATGAGTATTTTGCTAGGTGTCTTGGGTTCAAATTCCAAGTCCTTGACCATTTCTTGCTGTGTAATTAGAGCAAATCACTTCACCTACTGCACCTCAGCTTCCCTATCTGTAAAATGGAGATAATAATATTTGTCTACCTTCCTTCAATGCTGTGAGGACCAAATGAGACAAGAAATTTGAAAAATAAAAATAATACATTATTATGCTACTGAAAAAGGAAACTAGAATTGCTGGGTGTTGGGGAAGAAGTGTTTTTAGAGACAAAGACAAAACACTATTCCAAAGTCAAATATAAATTATATTTTTATACTAGAAAGGTGAATGATCTAAAATAATTACAGACTGAATATAATATAATTTTAACCAATATCACAGAAAGAAAAGAAGAAATGCTTCAGATAACTAACAGCAGTTATTCCTTAGTTATTTGATTATGGATGATTTTTCTTAAAATTTTTTTTGCCATAGGGCATGCATGCTCACTGGAGAGAGACAGAGAGGGGAACAGTGAGAAATAACTCCTTGGAGGGGACAGCCACATTGCAAGCTCCTCTCCTCCATTCTCCTCTTTGAATTTTGGGCATACACACCCACATGCCTGGTATGTTTTTAAGCTTCTTGATCTGGGACTCAAACTGTGGAGTTGGCCATGTGGGATCCAGCACCTTAACCACCACATTACTTGCAGGCCTAATTATGGGTGATTAAAAGTTTTTTCTTTATATTTCTCTATTTTTCAAGTGTTCTTAAGCCAATAAGTACATGTTATCTTTATACTAGAAAAGGTGCTGGGGTCAGCCTATGATGTGGTGGTTAATGCACTGGACTCTCACATGGTGGTTTGAGCTGCGGACTCAGAACATACGCATGCATGTCCAAAATCCCAAGAAGGGAATGGAGGAGAAGGGATAGCAACAGGACCATTGCTCCTGGGGGGTGATTTCTCATGTTCCTTCTCTGTCTCTCTCCGAGATCACACACACCTTATGGCAAAGGAAAATCTAAAATGGAAAGAAAAAAAAAAGGAAAGGTGTTTAATCACTAAAAATATGAAACCATCAAGGCAAAAATCTCCTCACTTTACAGATGTAGCCTAAAGAGGTGAGGTGATTGTTTTCAATGTCATTGCTAGGAAAGCTAGTTCCCAAAATCCAGGTTACCTGACTCAGGTCCATTGCTATTTGCATGCCCAGCTCTACATTATTCATGAACACAGAAATTAAAGTTGATCGAGTTCCTCTACTTCATCTTTAAAAACATCCCTGTCAGGGGACCAGCAGTTATCATAAGGGCTATGTCACTGGGCTCCCATGTAGTCGACTGTGGTTCGAGTCCTGGACCCGTTGGCTTAAACTCACGCCGGGTGCATGTGCATGTGTGCCCAAGATCCCAAGAGGAGAATGGAGGAGAAGGGACTGAGGAGTGGCCCTCCCCCCTTGGGGGTGATTTCTCGCTTTCTGTCTCTTTGTCTCTCTCTGTCTTTCTGGTGAGTACACGTGCCCTATAGCAAAAACCTCTCAAAGAAAAAAAAATCCCTGTTGGGACCAGCAGTTGGTGTAATGGCTATGTCACTGGACTCCCATGTAGTCGACTGCAGTTCGAGTCCTGAATCCAGTGGTATCCTATAGCAAAACCCCCTCCCAAAAAAAAAAATCCCTGTTGGGGACTGGGCCTCAGAGAGGAAAGGGGTTCTGAAAATTCTCCTTTTCCACTAAGTGTTTCCAGGGTGATAAAAGAAGAGCTCTTCATGAGGCAGGTGATAAACTTAATCCTTGGGAGAGGAATTAGAGGAGAAAAGGTAGGCATATGTGACAGGAAGCATACAGTCATGGAGGAGCACTGATTCAGGAGGTGGGGGATCTGATTAGAATCATTATTCTAACGACTACCACAGATTAGCTATGTGACTGGGCAACTCTCTTTATCTTTCTTCCCAGATTCCTTTTCAAAATTAAAATAATAATAATAAACAAAATAGAGAGAGAGAGAGAGAGAGTTGTACCAGGCGATTTTCTTTCAAGTGATAAAATTTGGTTTAAAGTGCATCGTATTTACCTTAAACACACACAGAATGTATGCTAAATGGGTGCTTTTCAAAAACAAGTATGTTTTCACAGACATAACGCAGTAAAATCAGTTTTTGCAAAAAGAAGCCAAAATAATAAATACAATGCAAAACCATGATTTAAAATACAAACAAGCAGAAAGCAAATGCTTGGAGAAAACCTCCTGTGCAGATGGGAATACAAAATCCTCTTGCCAAGCAGTTTTCATGGTGAATTGTTTGTCGTCAGGTAGAAGGCAGCATATTGCAGATTGTGAAAGTAGTGAGCAACAGAACTCTTTGGACACAAGCATTGTGGAAGAAGCCAGTGAGTGGTGCCCAACTTTACCTACTTTATACATACTCCTTCTGGGTCGACAGCCTTGAGACTCTGAGCTTCTGTAACTCATGTATTAGAGGTCGTGGTCATGGCCAAGTTGGCATTACCTGTAAGCACTGTGGTGGAGTGGAGTTCTCACCTCTTCTCCCTTACCTGTGGGCTGGGAGGTTCTCTCTTCCAGGCAAATGCTCTCCCTTCACCCTACCTGAAAAACTGTGACCTGGGGACTTCTGTGAGTGTCTTCTGAGACATTTTCTTTTAAAAGTATATCTCTTATTCATCTTTAAAAGTATATCTCTTATTCATCTTCACTGTCTCAAATAGGAGGAACCTTGAGAAATTTTTAAGTGAAAGAAGCCACCTTAGGTTGTTTATGAGACTTCTGGCTCATTTCACCCCAAACCTCTTACTGGTTCATCCTTTTGTGGAAAGCTGCTCTGGTTAAGGAAAAGAGAGCAGAGTGAGGAGGCTCAAGAGAGGAAAATAATATGTGGGGGGCAACAATATGAATTAGATATGTCATTTAAGAAAAATAACCCACATTCTCTCTCTTCAATATCCTCCAATTCTACATGTAATTCTCTTAGCAGACTTTCATTCTAAGATGGAAAAATAAGGTCTAAAGAAATCCTGTAGGACATAACACTAACCTAAATTTTTACTTTGTTGTAACCAGACCTTTTTGCATGGCGTTTTTGAAAGGGAATGAGCACCGGAAAAACCACCAAAGGTCTGGGGTTGTGAGTGTAGGTAAGTGTCAGGGTTCGGATGGGTCAGGAGGTTTTCAGCAGGCATTGGCAAAATGGTCTGTGCTGTTCTGAAGCCTCTGCTTGCTGAGATGTTTCTTGTTCCTATAGAGTCTTTGTATGGGTGCACCTTCAGGGTGAGTGTTCATGATTTTAACTAACTTTAACATTTCCTGTACTAGTGACTCAAGTCACCAAGCAAGTTTAGCAGAAATGAGACTGTATCTATCAGTATGAAGTATCCAATGTATATTTGTACAAGTAGTAGAGTTAAAATTCATCTTTTTTTTTTCCTACAGGAAAGAAGAAATGCTGGGTTCATGATGGCAATAATGCTTATATTGAGGCTGAGATTAAAGGGAGTGAAAATGATGGAAAAATAATTGTTGAGACTACAGATGGAAAGGTAAAAAACACTATTTCTTCCCAGAGATGACCACATTCTCTATTTAATCGAAAACTAAATATCTCCTTTCTCGCCTATTTTCATCTTAAAACCTGGAGTAGATGTCACTGACACCCTTTGGAGACATTAATCTTTAAGAAGCTTCTCTACTTATCATCCAAGTTTTTTTTTTTTTTTTTTTGAGAGGTTTTCGCTATAGGGTGCGTGCGCTTGCCAGACAGACAGAGAGAGACATAGAGACAGAAAGTGAGAAATCACCCCCCGGGAGGATGGTCACGCCGCAATTCCTTTTCTTCCATTCTCCTCTCGGGATCTTGGGCACGCACGCACACGCGCCCAGCGTGAGCTTTAAGCCACCGGGTCCGGGACACGAACCGTGGTTGACTACGTGGGAGTCCAGCGACATAGCCATTACGCTAACTGCTGGTTCCCATCATCCAAGTTTTAATGAAGAAGAATGAATAAATCAGAGTAAAACGATTGCCAGTGGCTAAGATCATTGACTCACAACTGTATCTACTTCTTTCATCAATGTTTCACTTTTTTTTATTTGTTTGTTTCTAAGGGTATCCTTGCAATGAATATTGACCTAGGAACTATGGTATAAGCTGTGTTTGTAGAATCAAGAAAGTGATGTATAATTTGAATAAAAATAGCATAGTATCAGAGAAGCCAAGAGATGATGGAATGGCCAGTAATGTGAAATGCTAGAGAAAGCATTTAAGAGTTGTGGGAGTTGCATGGTGGTCAACATTAATACATGACGCAGGCTAGCAGGTGGCGTGGAGATTAAGGCACTGGATTTCACATGGCTGACTCTGAGGATTGGGACCCAGACCCTGCAGCTTAAAAATCACTCTGGGTGTGTATGTCCCAAATGCTGAGAGGTGGTTGAAGGAGAAGGGATTGTGGTGTGGCCATCCTCCTGTGGGGAGATTTCTCACTTTCTCTTTCTATGTAAATACCCAGCAACAAAAAGGAAATAAACAAGACAAACTAACTGATAAGAAAAACATTAACACTTTGTTAGGCCAACCCACATGAGGAGGTTTTAGGTTGGCATCTGGAGTTTCCTCGAGTGCACTAGACATGTGTGTGCTTGTGATCCAGGACTGGCAGAGCTGGCAGTGGATCATAGCATCAGGACCCCTGCTAGGGATGCTGGGGGAGGGGGGTTCTTTCTCTTTCATTCATAGCAGGAGTAAATAAGCAATTAAAAAAAAAGATTAAGGGCTTGAAGAAAACTTCAGATTTCAGCATTAGGAGATAATCCATGTCCTCTGAAAGAGAAAGTTATGTCAAGTATTAGGGCAGTGGCTAGACAGTAAGGTTTCCTAGAAAGAATGCGTACTGAAATTCCAAGCCCTCAAAGCCTCCTCCTGTCCTCAGGGCATTCAGAAAAGCATGGCAATATTGAAAAGACCGTTTGCTCTCAGAACCTTTACCTAAATAAATCACGAACCTTGTGTTACCTGCCAGCCCTGTGACGAGACCTGGACCACACACTTACCCTGATTTGGATGAATACTTCTTCATAGATTTTATGGATGCCTGTATTCCCTTCTCTAAACTCCTTCCAATCCTGCTTTTCTTAACTCTATAACAAGCCACATCCTATAATTGGCAAGGGTAGTCATTATTATGAAACTTTGTCTTTTTTATGCTCTAATTTTGTACTTGGACAATTTATGATCTAAAGCATTGCCCACAGAGTAATAAACTTCTAGAGACCACTCAGAAACTACTATTTATCATACCTGAATATGCCTTCCTGACAGTCAATATCTGGAAGTAAAACAATCCCAAATTAGGTGTGTTTAATATAATTACCTTATAGAATTAAGGAAAGAACTTGGTCCTTTTCAGTAGGAACATAAATAGGCAAAGGAAAATTCAGAATGTCCTAACTCAGTAAACTAAGAAAGCAGTGGGATTCAAGTAGAGCCATTTAGCCTTTGTAAGGTTCAATCATCATTGTTCATATGCCAACTTTTTTTTAAAAACAACCTTCTTGAGATAAAATTTACATACCATATAGGTCAGCTCTTCTTTTCTTTTTATAAGAGAGAGATTTTTGCTATAGGTTGTGTGTGCTCACTGGAGAGACGGAGAAAGACACAGATACAGAAAACAAGAAATTCCTCCCCAGGAGGGATGACCTGAGGATATAGAAAATTGTAACACTCATATATTGCTTGTGGGTGTAGTCACATAGGGATATACTTTGGCAGTTTCTTAACATGCTAATCACAGAGTTAACACATGACCCAGCAATTCCACTCCTGTATGTGCACACAACACATCCATGAAAACACATGCAAATGTATGCTCATAATATAATTATTCATAATCATCAAAACATGACCATTAATCATCGAATGAAAAAGCAATCCCTTCTCCTCCAATCTCCTCTCAGGATTTTGGGCACACACGCATACAAGCTCAGTGTGAGTTTTAAACCACTGAGTCCAGGACTCGAACTGTGGTTGACTATGTGGGAGTCCAGCGATGTAACCATTACACCATCTGCTGGTCTCTAGCTCAGCTTTTTGAAATATGCGATCCCATGTTGTTTGTTTATTTCTTTCGTGAGACAGAAAGAGAGAAATACAGACACACACATGCACACACACACACACACACACACTCACTTTACACTGTGAGCCACCCCTAGCCTCAGCTAGCTTGGCTCACAGACATGCACCTGGTGTTGTGCAACATGGGCCTAGGACCTCCCGTGTGGGTTCAGCATCATGGAGCATGGCCTTACTGCTTGCCCACCAGCTGATCCCCATGTTTTCAATATATTAAAAGAATTATACAACTATCACCAAGGTCTAATTTTAGAATATTTTCATCGTTTTCAGAAGAAGCCCTGTGCCCATTGTCAATTATGCTCCTTCTCTCCTCCTCTACCAGCCCCAGGGAACCATAGATCTACTTTCCGTCTTTATAGATTTGCTTTTTCTGGTCACTTCAGATAAATGGATTATACAGTAACACAAAATGCTGGTCTTTTGTGCCTGGCTTCTTTCGTGTCTCAATAGTTTTGAGATGCATTCATGTTGTATCATGTGTTACTTCATATCTTTCTATGGATGAATAATATTCTACCGTTTGGATGTACTAATACCATATTTTGCTTTTTCATTCGATGATTAATAGTCATGTTTTGATGATTATGAATAATTATATTATGAGCATACATTTGCATGTGTTTTCATGGATGTGTTGTGTGCACATCGAGGAGTGGAATTGCTGGGTCATGTGTTAACTCTGTGATTAGCATGTTAAGAAACTGCCAAAGTATATCCCTATGTGACTACACCCACAAGCAATATATAAGTGTTACAATTTTCTATATCCTCAGTAAATGTTTTAGTGTATGTCTTTTTTTGTTATAGTTATCTTAATGGGAATGAAGTAGTATCTGAATGTAAAATTATTTGAGTTTCCCTAAGACTCATGATGCTGGGCATCATTTTATATATTTATTAGCCATTTATATATCTCCTCCAGAGATGTCTATTTAAACACTTTGCCAATGGTTTAATTGTGTTATTTTTTCATTAATGATTTGTAAGAATTCTTTTTATATTCTGGATGCAAGTCCCTTAACAGATGTAGTAGTTGTACATATTTTCTCTCAGTCTGTTCATTGTCTTTTCATTTTCTTAAAGGTGTCCAACTCAATTTCATTAGGTTTCAGATGAAAGGCTTCCTCTTCTGCACACATCACCAAAACTATTGTCTCTCTGACAGTATTTAAAGTGATCTGTGAACATAATATGGTTACAACTATAATTTTTATAAAGAAATCATAGGAAGAAGAGCATGAAAGCCTTTAATTAGTGTAGAAAGAGGAATCTCAGGTGCTTTATTTTAGCCTGCTTGTCCTTCTACCATGTAATGATGGTCCCATTCCTCCCCGCTTCACTCTGCCTCCAGGCTTCTGTTTTCCTCCTCATGTGCGAAGTGACTGCACTTTCGATCACCTTGGGGCTCTGTAACATTAACAAAGGCAACAAAGCCAGAGGGTGTCAAGTACTACTTATTGAATACATTCTGTGATGAAAGAAGATAGAAAAGTAGAATCAGGGCCAAGGGGAAGTTTTTGAAGATGTAATAGAAATTACATTCTGCATGTGTTTGAAGGTAGAAGAGAAAGAATCCTTGAAATACAAAAATGGAAGGGGCTGAATAAAAGGATTTCTGCTAGTACAATGTCAAAGAAGACTGTGGCTAGGAATCAGATCAAGATGATAGAATATGGGAACCTTAGAAATGAGAAGGTATCACCTACTGGGGTTAAATGAGGTAATCAGTTGAGGCCAATATTTACAAATCAAGGAAAAGGACTATAGAAAGGGTATTAGGAAGCCTTTGAGAAGAATCCCAAGCAACCATTGATAGTAGCAATGTATCCATATTAATCTAGATTTTAATATTGACTAAGTACCAACCTTGTCCCAAGCAGTGTGATAGGTGCTTTAATAACTGTAGAAGGCACTATTAAAACTCCTTCATAAGGGGTTTGTAATCTAGTTGGAAAATCATTTTCTATTTCTCTCCTCTCTGTAGAGCCTCAGTGTCAAGGAGGACAAAATCCAACACATGAATCCTCCAAAGTTTGAAATGATTGAAGACATGGCGATGTTGCTTCACCTGAATGAAGCGTCTGTGCTACATACTCTGGAGAGGCGCTATGAACACTGGATGATTTATGTGTGTATAGATGCTTCACTGCTGAAATAGCATGCTGGCACATGCAGTGTGATGTCCCAACCTCTTTTGGGTGATGTCTTATGTTGGATTTAAAAATACTCATATGGGGCCAGATGGTGGCAGAGTGGTAGTATGCTCTGCAAGGCTGGCCCCCATAGGAAGGCTTCTTGTTCATATGCAGAGACCTTCTTGAACATGTTGAGCATGTATGTGGCCACACTCTGAGCCTAGCTGGGGCCAAGGGTTGATTGTGGTGTGAAAGGCCCCATTGGAGGTGCCTGTCTCTGTCTTTGACTTATTATCTCTCAATCATGGAAGAAAATACATAAACTTAAAGCAAAATAAGTGGAATGGTCTCCATAGTGCCATGGTTAAGGGAGCTGGATGCTACATGGCTGAACATGTGGGGACACATGGAATGTGTGTGTGTGTGTGTGTGTGTGTGTGTGTGTGTGTGTGTATGTATGTATGTGTGTACCCAGAGTCCTGATTGGATGGGGAGGTGGAGGAAAGAGAATTGCAGTATGACCATACCCCAGTAGGGTATGCTTTCTCTCTCTCGCTCTCTCCCTGTATCTGGTGAGTTCATGTGCACTTTGGCTATTGGAAAAAAAGAAAGAAAAAGAATACTCACAAGGGAATAATCCTTCAGGAACACCTACTAGAGAGAGACTTTATCTTAGTGTTTCCCCAATTTTATTTTGTCCACATTCATGTTCCTTTTCATGGGTTATTATGCTAAACTAAAAGCAGGACCATGACCTGATAGAGCAGAGTCAAACCAAACAGCAGGACCTCATTCCCTCTGGGGGAACTAGGACAGAATCCTTTCTTGTCTCTTCCAGCTTCTGGAAGCTATTGGAATTGGCCGTGGCTACCTCCTTCTGATCTCTGCCTCCATCTTCACATCACCTTTTTCTCTGTGTCTTTCATAAGGACACCAGTTATTGGTTTTAAGACCCACCCAGATGTCATCCTAAGACCCTCAAATCAATTACATCTGTAAAGACCCTTTTTCCAAATAAGGTCACAGGTTCTCAGGATTAGGCCACAAGTATATCTTTTGGGGAACCACCATTCATCCATTTTAGTTACTGAGTGCCTCACATGAAAAATTCCTCTTCAGTGCCCTAAAAGTTAGGTTCTTAATCTTGCTGAGGTAGAGATTCCCTCTGGTCTCAAATGCTTGATGGCTGGTTACTGAAATCTCTGCAGGCCTGCAGTTAGTGTCTTCTCTGTCTTCAAAAGCTCTGTGCTTCAGACATGTTAGCAGTTAGCAGATTTCCCAGGGGAAAGGTAATCCCAGGTCCCAATGGTACTCTAACCTGGTTCTGTCTCTTCCTGTTAGAGTCCCTTCTTTACAAGGATCCAAAAGCTCTTCTCCTTTGAGTTCCTTTATAAGTAAATATTTGAACAAATGTTACCTGACATTGCCAAGAACTGATGAACCTGGAAGTATTTCTAATCTCTTTTCTGAAATCTCTTCTGATCTTCCCTCAGACGTATTCAGGTCTCTTCTGTGTGACCATAAACCCTTACAAGTGGCTTCCAGTGTATCAGAAAGAAGTGGTGGCTGCCTACAAAGGCAAGAGGCGATCAGAGGCTCCCCCTCATATCTTTGCTGTTGCTGATAATGCCTTTCAGGATATGCTTCACAGTAAGTAGCTGCCCTACAAAATGAAAAGTAAAAATATCTGATCTACTTTTTCTCCATGTCACTAAGAAGCACTTAGGCATTGTGAACAGAGCATGGCCTTTACAGTTATCTAATCACTTGAAGCCTCTGTTTCCTTCTGGATAAAATGTGGGCAAAATAGCACCTACCTCCTAGGGTTAGTGGGACGATTAGCTTGTACATCAAAGTGTGATAATACATTTAAAGTGCTCAGGCCAGTGACTGGCCGAGAGTAAGCCCCCTATAGATGTTAACTTTTATTGCATAAAGCATCTGCTATAGTGTCTGACACAAAAGACGTTATTCTATAGCTATTATTATACAATGATTTCTAAAAGGCTTAAAATCACAGAAATGCCAACCATTAGTTGGTTCCTATTTGAATTTAGAGCAAGGAAATAGGTCTTGAATTTATATGTGCTTATGACTGGTGTACTTAAGGACAAGAGAAAATCTATTTCATTTGGCATCATTGAAATGACTTTTTTTTCCTCTAACTATAAATGGAGGAAATCCTTTCTCTTGTGTCTGACTTCAAACTGCAGCCAAGGAAATTTTGAATAAAATCATGCCAGTACATAAGCCTCTAGCATAAGAATAGTCTAACATTTTCTTTCTTTCTTTCTTTCCTTCTTTTTTTTTTTTTGGTAGATCGAGATCTAATCACTTGAAGCCTCTGTTTCCTTCTGGATAAAATGTGGGCAAAATAGCACCTACCTCCTAGGGTTAGTGGGACGATTAGCTTGTACATCAAAGTGTGATAATACATTTAAAGTGCTCAGGCCAGTGACTGGCCGAGAGTAAGCCCCCTATAGATGTTAACTTTTATTGCATAAAGCATCTGCTATAGTGTCTGACACAAAAGACGTTATTCTATAGCTATTATTATACAATGATTTCTAAAAGGCTTAAAATCACAGAAATGCCAACCATTAGTTGGTTCCTATTTGAATTTAGAGCAAGGAAATAGGTCTTGAATTTATATGTGCTTATGACTGGTGTACTTAAGGACAAGAGAAAATCTATTTCATTTGGCATCATTGAAATGACTTTTTTTTCCTCTAACTATAAATGGAGGAAATCCTTTCTCTTGTGTCTGACTTCAAACTGCAGCCAAGGAAATTTTGAATAAAATCATGCCAGTACATAAGCCTCTAGCATAAGAATAGTCTAACATTTTCTTTCTTTCTTTCTTTCCTTCTTTTTTTTTTTTTGGTAGATCGAGAGAATCAGTCTATACTCTTCACGTAAGTCTTCACCTTGTTTTCTTTTTGGTCTACTGTAAGTTTCAATTGAAACAGACACCTACATTTCACTGGGAATAAAGCTTAAATACAATGTCTTTAAGTCATTTGCTGTTTAGATATAGAATACTTTTAAGGTAAGAATAAGATACTCAGGAAATTGTCATAATACTTTAGTCAGTGATTACTCCAAATATGGTGTCAGCTAGTCTGCCTCCATCATTTTAAGAGGTCCTTTAGAAACCTCCATGCATAGCTGTTCTTAATCCCTTTTTTTTTCTTTCTTCCTTTCTTTCTCTCTCTCTCTCTCTCTCTCTCTCTCTCTTTTTTTTTTTTGTTGCTGTTGTTCCATATGAAGATCTTTTAAAGCCTCTGGACTGGGTGTTTAAGCAGAGAGGTCAAAAGTCCAAAAGTTATGACTGTGGATTGTGGGTAGCCAAATTTGGCAAACTAAGGTACATTAAATAGTGGGAACTAAAAGACTGTGAGTCTTGGAGGGATAATAGAAGAGAGTGAGAAGGAAGGAAGGATCTTACATCTTGTTGTACCTTACTTCTGAAGGAGGAGCACTGGTAGGTCATGTGAACTGTTCGCCTGAGTAGCTGAGACCTAGGAGGCTGTGAAGTGCAAGAGTCCTTGACCCTCCTATGCAATGATGATGCCACCTTTTGTGCTGGACTCTTTATTGGCTTCTGCTATCCTAGGAAGGATTGTAGGGTCTTGGAATCTTAAAGTTAGATGGACAGTTAGAGTTCAGCCCTTTGTGCAGAGAATCAACTGTTTCCTGTAGTTTCATAGAGATAAAAGCAGGTCTTGATTCTATGAGGTTTTGGGTAACAGGAGTATACATTCACCACAGTGTGCTTCTTCCATTACAGTTAGTTGGTTATCAAAGCTAAAGGGGAAGCCCAGCAAAATGATTGGTAGATCTCCTTCTGAGAAGAGGGTTGAACTTGGCCACATGGTAACTTTGATTCATGAAGAGAGATGCTAATTAGAGAGATGCTGTCTTGCGTTTTGTTAATAGGAACATACGGAACAGGCTTCTTGATTTTTCTAAGTTCTTGAGCTTTCTGAACTCTGAGTTCTGCTCATGCTGGTTTTTTTTTTTTCAGCCTGAGATGTCCTTCCCCATCTCCTTGCCAATTAAATGTCTATATACCCTCAAACTGTATCTTAAGTTCCACTTTTCTATAAAACCTTCCCTGCTCTCCTTAGCCTGTATTACTTAAGTTTCATTGCATTGATAATCTGAACTGGTTTACCATGTCCTGAATTTCAAATGACAGAGGAGAATCTGGTGCTGGAAAGACTGTGAACACCAAACATATTATCCAGTATTTTGCCACCATAGCTGCCATGAATGAATCCACTAAAAAGCCGGTAAGTGTTCATGTGTCTTGTCAGGAAAGGTGAGGTGGCTCTATTCACTGGAATAGGACATGAAATGGAGACTCTGTCCTGACCACTTATAGGAAGTAGGCAACGAGTCCCAGAACAGTTAGCAAATGATAGAAAAGCCCTTTCTATTCCCACTTCTCAGTTTTTCTTTGTCCCTTGAGGGGCTCATCAAAGGTTCTAACCAATAACCTGAAAATACGAATTATATCATTTGTTTCACATTTGCTTCAAGGGATAGTGATCTGGTCTTTGTTGGTTGTCTGAGTTTTGTCCTCAAAAATCTAAATTATCTTACCTGAAGGCTAGGGTCATTAACATCTTGAATGTCCATTCTTGATATTTCTGAGTCCTTTTATGTATCACGAGATGTCAGACTACCACAAATATGTACAAAAAGAAGTCTTCTTTCATCATTCCTACTTCTAGATCAAATCCCAAATGCTCGATGGACAGACATATCCACAACTTTAATCATATTCCACATTGCGTAAAATACTATCTTCTCTATTTAATTTTTTATCTTTAGTGATTTTTAATTTAGCCTGCTTTGATTAGCTCCCTCAACAAGTTAGTGGGATTCATAATAATTTGAGAATAACTAGACCATGAAGTTGGTTTGCAAAATAAAGTTAGTTAAAGTTGAGTGGAACTTGAAATCAATATGTTATTGAGCTATTAAATGTCTCTTCTTTCTTTGTCTGGCATTGTTACTTTGTATTTTCAATTGATCCTGTATATAACCTCCTATTTTTGCAAAATAAGAAGTATTGGGGGGGGCAGCAGATGGCTTAGTGGTTAAGAAGCTGGACTCCAACATAGCCAACTGCAATTTAAATCTCATACCTGTCAGATTGAAAAATCACACCGGGCACATGTGCATGCATGCCCAAAATCCTGAGAGGAGACTGGATAAGGAATTGTGGCATAGCTATCCCTCCTGGGAGGTGATTGCTCACTTTCCCTCTCACTATCTCTCTATGTCTCTCTCTTTCTCCAGTGAGTGCACATACCCCATGGCAAAAATCTTGGAAAAAAAATATAACAAATTAGACTTCTGGTTCAATTTTTAAACTATGGAAACTTTCTTTTTCAATCACCAGATTTCTAAATTTGATTGAGTTCTTTGGGTATTATTGAACTCTATTACTCACTAGATATAACTTTGTTTTTGTTTTCACTTCAAGGTTTTTCGTTTGTGTGTGTGTGTGTGTGTGTGTGTGTGTGTGTGTGTGTTAATTAGTTTCACTTAGTCATTGAAACATATGATAATATATAACACAATACATAATATTTCTTTCTTTTTTTTTTTTTTTTGGAGAGATTTTTCACTGTAGGGCGCGTGCACTCGCCAGACAGACAGAGAGAGACATAGAGACAGAAAGCGAGAAATCACCCCCCGGGGGGATGGTCACGTCGCAATCCCTTCTCCTCCATTCTCCTCTCGGGATCTTGGGCATGCACGCACACGCGCCCGGCGTGAGTTTTAAGCCACTGGGTCCGGGACACGAACCGCGGTCGACTACGTGGGAGTCCAGCAACATAGCCATTACGCTAACTGCTGGTTCCCAATACATAATATTTCTAGGAAAATATGTGCTCATAGAGTCTTTTATGTTTTGAAAGACACTAGGCCTATATTACTTGTGATCTAATATTTGTTAATCTACAAATTCTTGAATACCAAAAATGAAAGGATTTCAAAAGGTTCATGGAAAAAAGAATTAAAATATGGAATTATTTTGGTGCATAGAGTTTGAAATCCACACATAGTTTTTTTTTTAATAATACGCATTTCCATGAACTTTTTGAAAACTCTTCATGCTATATAATTCTCTTATAAAATAGGTCCTTGAGGCTGAGTAGAAAGCAGCAAAATTGTGTTGCAATGTGGATGCTTAGGCTTGCTTTCTGTAAATAACCTGATTTAACCAATCAGCCTAAGTGAAATCCAAATTCAAGTTCATTACTATTACAAGTCACTGTTTGGTGTGAACTTCTAGATTACTGAGAAATAGTAGCAAGCAAAAATATAATTTAATAATGTCAGGAGTCTGTTGTATTATCCTAGGATAAATTTTTAGATATGAGAATAAGATGGGAAGAGACAGATATTTACAGTGGAGAGAATATATGGAATAGGATTGGTCTAGAAATAGGCTATTTTACACACACACATGCACACACATGCACACCCACACACACATTTAAAAAAAATTTTTTTTAGTAAATAACCATTTTGTTTTCCACTCAGACCAATGCCAGCCAAAAGAAAAGCATTGAAAATAAATGTGCTCCCAAAGTATATTAAGTCCGTCTCTCTCATCCATTCATTTTTCTGAGTTCCTGTTACAAAATAATATATAAGCAAATTGGGACCAGCAGTTAGTATAATGTCTATGTCGCTGAACTCTCATGTAGCCAACCGCGGTTCGAGTCTCGGATCCAGTAGCTTAAATTCACACTGGGCACATGTGTGTGCGTGCCCAAGATCCTGAGAGGAGAATGGAGGAGAAGGAATTGTGGCGTGGCCATCCCCCCTGGGGTGGGGTGATTTCTCGCTTTCTATCTCTCTGTCTCTTTCCTGTCTTTTTGGCGAGTGCACGTGCCCTATAGCAAAAACCTCTCCAAAATAATAATAATAATATATAAGCAAATTTGGGAGCAACTTTTGGTAACTGGTTATCAAAGCAGGGATATGATTTAACCTGGGGATGCTACATTATAGAATTCTGAAAACTTTATCAGCTGTGGTCTCTCACATATACCTCAGGGGACTTTGGAAGATCAAATCATGCAAGTGAATTCTATCTTGGAAGCATTTGGAAATGCCAAAACCTTGACAAATGACAACTCTTCTCGTTTTGTAAGTAACATGATTTGACACAACATCTGAATCATTATTTCTATATATATTTATTTTTACAGAAAGCATCTTCGGGTCAGCAGATGGTGTGATGTTTGAGATTCTGGACTTGCACATGACTGACCCTAGTTTGAGTCCCAGACCTAGAGGCTTGCTTTCTCACTTTCCCTTTATCTCTCTCTGGTCAGATTATAATAATAATAATAATAATGATAATAACAAGTAAAATTAAATAAATAAATAAATCTTAACAAAAAATAAAAGGGAAAAAAGGCCTTACTGTGTTGTTATACTCCAGCTGGCCTAAGTCTCTCTAGTAGTTCAGCTCCTTTAGATAGGGCCTTCTTATTTTTCCCATACTGGCCATAGCTCGCAATTCTCCTGCTTTGGCCTCCCAAGTAGCCAGAGTTACAAGTGTGTGCCACTGTACCCAGCCTTCAGGTTGGGCTAAGAATTGAACCCAGGTTTCTCATGCAGCGCGTGGCTTCTTATCAGTGTGCATCACTGTGGGTTCGGAGTCTTTATTTTTAAGTACTGGTAGAACTTGTGTCTGAGTACATCAATATGAACAAAATTCTAGGACATCAAAAAAGATCTTTGACTAAAGTCCGTAATAGTGTTAGATAACTTCAAAAAAATATACTGGTTTTATCACTGAGAAGATAAAACTACATATTGAGGCCAGGCCCCACAGGAAAAGTCTCAGGTTTGTGTCCTGAGACCACCCTGAACTCACTAGGCACATGTGCACATGGTCCAGGCCAGCTGGGATTGAGGGCAACTCATAACATAAGAACCATGTTGAGGTACCTCTCCCTGTCTCTCTTTTAAAGAAATAGATGGACTTAAAACAAATAAACAAACAGACAGACAAACAAAAAAACTACATATAAATGTGTGTCTAGGAAGCTTCTGTTTGGTCAATTTAAGAGAGAATAGTTTCAAGTTCCTTTTCATTTCCACCAGGGGAGCTCACTCAACAAATTATAGTAGTGCTTTATATTTTATTACAGTTTGTAGATTTGAAATACTTCTTTCTTCATCATAATTTTCTATACTCCTTTTAACAAGTCAACTCAGTAGGTACTTTCTAATTCACTTATAATGATTATCATTTCTGCTCTTGCCTATGGCCTTTCTACCCTTGTATATTTTTCACTTGGGATTTTTTTTATTGGAGGAAATTATATTTTAAGTAGTTCTTAATAACCAGAAGTTCCATCGTAGAGGAAGAATTTGGATTTCGAAATCTAGTTTCATAAGTCCATTTTATGCCAAGAATGAGTGTCAGGGAGCTGCTATGTAAGTTGCAAAGAAATTTATAGAAGGCCTCCTGTTTAAATCTCTGGGCATAATTAAATAATAGCCTCATGGAGATTTGAATAGTTTTCATCAAAAGCCTTAGAACTGCTTTGTTGCGCTTAAATCTGCTTCTAATGTCTCACTGGTCATCACAAGTGCTAATACTAGTCCATAAACAATGGCTAGGTTTAGGATTTCTTAGAATGATAAAGGGTTTTCTGTTAAAATATGAAAGACAGAAAGCTAAAAAGAAGGAAGGGAGGGAAAAATATTTGAAAACAAGGAGAGTAAAGGAAAAGGAAAGATAGAACAGCAAGTAGAAAGATGAAGGAAGATGGAAAGAAAGCAACTTGAAAGAGAGTAAGAATTAGCAAAAAGTCGGAAGGATAGATGGAAAGAGTAGAGATGCAAAATAAACATAATTGGGGAAATGGAAGGAAGGAAAGAAGAAAAGGAGAAACAAAGAGAAAAAAGAGTGCCCCCAAAAGTCAAGAAATCCAGATTAACTGTACACACACACACACACACACACACATACATATTCATATATTTACATGTACATTTGTATGCATGTATATGGATGTGGTTTCCATTGTCCTACATTTTTTACCTTCCTGATTCAATTCTCCTGTACAAAGCCATTGTCCCTCGCCAGTCTGTTGTCCTGCTCTGGACGTGAGGGAAGAATGCCTATATATTATTTATGCCAAAATGTGTTTTGAAACATGAATTGCATCTCTCTTCTGCTTAAAGCCTCTCAGTGTTGGGACCTGCAAATGGCATAAGGATCATGTCACTGGACTCCCATGTAGTTAACTGTGGTTCGAGTCCCAGACCTGGCAACTTAAAACTTATGCCAGATGCATGTGCATGCATACCCCAAATCCCAAGAGGAAAATGTCAGAGAAGGGAATGCAGTGTGGCCACTCTGGTTGTGTGGGGGAGTGATTTCTCACTTTCTGTCTCTCTTCGGCAAGAGCATGCTCTCTGTAGCAAAAATCTTTCTCTAAAAAGACAAAACAAAGAAAAACTCCCAATATCTCCCAAGCACATTCAAAAAAACAAAGCAAACAACCCCCCAAAACCCTACTCTTTCCTGTGTTCTATATGGCTTACATGACATGGTACTTGTCTACCTCTCAGACTGTATTCTCCCTTCTTTTCTCCTATTCGTTAAGCTCTAGCACAGCTGACTTTTCTTTTGATTTCAAAATATGCCAAATACCCCAATGTTAGAGCTGTTGCACTAGTCACTTACCCAGTAAAATACACATTCCATTAGATCAGGAACTCTGACACTGTTTCTTGTATCTCCAGTGCCTAGCATGTTTCCTGGATCACAGCAGAGGCTATAGTGTTTATTAATGAATGACAGAATATGCTGAGCAGATAGTATTTTTCCCATTTTTAGATAACAGCCCTGAGGCCCAGAGAGATTTCACCCTGCACCCAGAATACACAGGTAGCAACTGGCAGATCTGGGACTAAAAGTCAGGCCCACTGCTAGTCCTCAAAATCATTCTGGCTTTCTCTAGACATTAACTGATACTACCTCATCCCAAACCTGTTTCTTTTCTAAAAAATATATTTATTTTATTTTATTTATTCATTATTATTTTTAAATTTAACTAGAGAGAGAAAGAGAGAGAGAAGGGGAAAGTGAGAAAGCAAGCCTCCAGGTCCAGGACTTGAACTGTGGTTGGCCAGTGCCCCAACCACCATGCCACCTGCTGGCCTTTGCTTTTGTTTTTGTTTTTCAACTTTTGAGGAATTAGTCACTCTGAGAGTTATATATGTAATAAAGTTTTGTTACAGTTGTTTGGAAAGTTAGGAGACTTTGTTGTGTCCACCTAGGGCAAGTTCATCAGGATACACTTTGGTGTCAGAGGCACGCTGTCATCTGTGGACATTGAGATCTGTGAGTAACTGTTGGACCACTGAACCTTTTCTTCTAAGTTTCCCAAAACATTTAAGTATGAATATTTATCTATTTCTCATCATCCAGATTTGCTTGAAAAATCCCGGGTGATTTCTCAGCAGCATGGAGAGAGGAATTACCACATATTCTATCAAATCCTTTCTGGAAAAAAAGAACTTCGTGGTAAGTGTGAGATTCTGGAGCTGAGAAAGTGTTGTTTTTAGTAAGTTTTTTAGCCTTGTTAAAACCTCAGTTTATTCATCTTAAAATTTACAGCCAATGCTATATAATTTTTATATGAATAGAGGTTAAGTGGCAATACTTTTTAAAAAATTAGTAGTAAAAGAAAGAAGAATGTTTGGAGTAGGTGAGATGCCCAAGAGAATTAATGAGTGTGTGCATGTGCGTGCGTGCATGTAAAAACAAATAATTTAAGGCCTAAAATAAGTAGAGCCACAGGTGGTATAGACAAGAAGCTGAGGAGGGACACATCACCATGGTGTGTGGTGGTCAATGTGAATTTTGTGAAAAAGAGGGGATTTGTGTTGGGAAATGAAGGATAGGATCATGATTTAACCAGACAGAGTGAAGAGAGGAGGAACAGTGTGTACAGTGTCAGGAAAGTGTGAAGTGAAAGCAGGGGTCAGAGAAATTAGGCTGACTGCAGAAAAGGATTTGCATAGAGGAATAGTGGAGATCTTCTGATGGTTTCTGAACTCAGCACATTGGGAGGGTGTGGTATCCACGTGAGGGTCAGGGTGTGATAATAGGAGGTCATGATTTATTGAGGGCAGTGTTTAGGATGGGCAGGATGACCTGGAAGCAGAAACATTAGAGGAAAATAATTACAGCAGTCCCAGTATGAGATGGCAAGGTAGTTATCAAAGGGAGTATCTGTGGAAATGGAAAGAAAAGAGGATGGATATATGTAAGAATAGAAAGGTCTTGAAAGTAACTAAATATAGGAATGTGGGAGAAGAATACTCAAAAAACTCAAAAATATCCTCAAATTTTGTGATTTGATTAGGATGATTGTCATACTATAAACAAAAATTGCAAAGCAAATTGTGGGGGGTGGGTAAAAGAATAAATTTCATGTGTTTATTCAACAAATATCAACAAATACTTACTGTGGGACTGATTTTTAAGCATGGAGAATAGGATGGTGAACAAGACAGATATGTCCCTGCACCCCATGGGCTTACTTTCTAGTATGGAAGCTGGGCAACAAAGAAAGAAAGAAGGAAATTCATATAACTTCAGAGAGTAGTAGGTCTATAAGGAAAAATAAAACAAGGGATAGGATAGGGAGATTTGGATTTGCCAAGGTTATGAGTGGTTGTATTTTAGATACAAAGGACAACAGATTTTTCTCTGAGATGGCAATATTTTTTGCAGGCAGCTGAATAAATAAGGGAGCAAATAGGCAAAGATTTCTAAAAATAAGATTCTAGCAGGACCGAACAAACAGTATGTGCCAAGGTCCTGAGGCAGGAATGCATTTGGTTTATTCTTGGAATAGCAAAATGACCTTCATGAGCGGTAGAAAAAAGAAGATAATTGGGACAGGTAGGCAGGAAGTAGATAATGCAGCACCTTGCAGGCCATGGCAGAGAGAGCAGAAGTATTATTTTAAGTGTTACAGAAAGTCATTGGAAAAGGAGAATGACAAACTGATTAGATTTCAAGGATCTTGCATTTGAGTGAATCATGAAAAATGACAATGGTCCCACAGAACTTGCTGTAGATCCAGTTCAGCAAATTGTTGAGAATAATTCCCTAGTCCATTATGCTCAGATTAAGGATGATATAAAATACAATCCTTATTTTATTTCTTTATTATTTCTTTATTCTTATTTTATTTCTTTCATGTTTCTTTCATATGCATGTTCTCCCCCATGGAAAGGAGTAGAGAAGGAGAGAGAGGGAGAGGGAAGACTCCTCATTCCTTCATAGGGTCTTGTCATACCACAATCTCCTTTCTCCAACCTTCCAGCTAGTCAGAATCTTGGATATATCTGTGAGCCCACTTTTCAGGTGAACGTGGGATCCAAACCTGTGGTAAGCCATATGGCTTCCAGCACTGCAGATCAGCCTGAGGCACTGAGGCTGGGTCAAATCTATCAATGTTTTGATTACATGATTTTCACCTCCAGAGTGCCTGCATTAGATAGAAAAAGCCCTGAAAATCAAACAAGTATTTTTGCCATGGATTTAATTGGTAGTATGTAAGTCGCAGCTGTTTTCCAGTCCATCTTACTTCTATCTACACCTGGAACAGGATTTTTGGATTGATCATCCATTTCCATTGATCATCCCTGTCAAATAAAGCATTCTTGAACAAGAATTTCTACACTTCTCAGGGCCTCTGACACTAAGAGCCTAATATGGATACCAGCAGCAACTGCAATATTTTTTTAAGCATCTCTGACTATTAGTAGAACCTTTGTCTTGCTGTGGAAAAAATTTACACTTATCTTGAATTCATTTTATTTGTTTGTTATTGGGGGCCGCTGAAATTGATTACTTTGTAAAGCCTGACATCTGGTGGTCCAAGTTGGGTATTGTCTGTCCACTTGTAAGCATTTATTGTCATTTGAGGGGACATTTAAAAAGATCTGGAACTCTGGGACCAGCAGTTGACATAATGGCTGTGTTGCTGGGCTCCCATATAGTCAACCTCAGTTCGAGTCCTGGACCAGGTGGCTTAAGGGGGGATGATTTCTTGCTTTCTGTCTCTCTGTCTTTCTCTGCCTTTCTGGTGAGTGCACACACCCTATAGCAAAAACCTCTCAAAAAAATAATAATAATAATCTGGAACTCTTTCCATATGTGTTTGTCCAAGAATTGCTTCAAAGCATCAAAGGATAAATATAAGAAAGCACATCTTAGCAATGGAAATATTATATCCAAATTTCCTAAAATATGAGCATTGTCTACTATCATAGAATTGGTTTAGCATAATGGCTATGTCGCTGAACTCCCACATAGTTGACTGCGATTCGAGTCCTGGACCGGGTGGCTTAAACTCACGCCAGGTGCGTGTGCGTGCGTGTCCAGGATCCCAAGAAGAAATTGAAGGAGAAGGGATTGCGGCATGGCCATCCCCCTTGGGGGGGTGATTTCTCGCTTTCTATCTCTCTGTCTCTCTCTGTCTGTCTGACAAGAGCACGCACCCTATAGCAAAAACCTCTCCAAAAAAAAAAAAAAAAAAAAAAAGAATTGGTATGGAAAGCCAAAACAGAGAGGCTGGCCACCTACTGAAGGAGCTGAGGAAATGAGGTGACATGGTGCTCCAGAGTCTGCCCCCATTTGGCTCTACATGGTCAGGAACGCCTATTCTCCCCTTATCTCTCAGTTAAATCTGACCCAGTTCCAGACACAGTTAAGACCAGCATCTTCAAACCCCCCTTCTCACCCCCACACCACCACAACCAACACTCCCCAGATATGGATTCTTCAAAAATTTTAAATTCTCAATTATGTCTGTATAGTTTGGTCCTACATACACCTTCATTTTCTCTTCTTTTACTTGAATATTTTTCTCTCTATTCATTTATTGCACACTTCTTACTATTCAACTATTATCTAAAAGAGGAGAGGTTCTTGCCTCTTGGAATCCTTGATCTTTGCCTAAGTACTATGAGTGCTCACTTCATAAGCATGTGACAATCCTACATAATGAAGAGTCAGCCTACAGGATGGGTGAAAATATTTGCCAGGCTTACATCTGATACCCAAAATATGTAAGGAATTCACACAATTCAATAGCAAAAAGACAAATATGGGCAAAAGTCTTGAAAAGACATTTCTACAAAGAAGACATAGAAATGGCCAAACAGATGTATTTAAAAATGCTCAACGTCACTAATTATAAGAGAAATACAAATCAAAACCACAATTAAATATCACCTTGCACTTGTTAGGATGGCTGTTATCGAAAACAGAAGAGATGATCATTGGTAAGAGTGTGGAGAAAAAAGAAACCTTAAACACTGTTGGTTGGGAATGTAAATTAATACAGCAGTTATGGAAAACAATATGGGAGGTCCTCGAAAAACTAAAAATAGAACTACCATACTATCCAGCAATTCCATTCCTGGCTATATGTATAAATAAATAAAATTAGTGTGTGGAAGAAATATGTCTGCACTCCCATGTTTACTGAAATTTTATGCACAATAACTAAGGTATAGAAACAACCTAAGTGTCCATCAAAGATGCATAGATAAAGGAACCAGCAGTTAGCATAGTGGCTATGTCGCTGGACTTCCACGTAGATGATCGTGGTTCGAGTCCCAGACCCGGCGGCTTAGACTCACACGGGGTGCACATGTGTGCGCGCTCGCGCATAGGTATGTGCTCAAGATCCTGAGATGATAATGAAGGAGAAGGGATTGCAGCATGGCCATCCCACCTGGGGGGTGATTTCTCGCTTTCTGTCTCTCTGTCTCTCTCTGTCTTTCTGGTAAGCACATGTGTCCTATAGCAAAAACCTCTCAAAAAAAAAAAAAAAAAGATGCATGGATAAAGACAAATGTGGTATATACAGAGGTCTTCAAAGAGTTCATGGAAATGCATATTATGAAAAAACTGTACATAATTTCATTTTCTTGTACCAAAATAAATTCATAGTTTTTATTTTTTCCATGAACTTTTTGAAGTCCCCTCATACATGCACAATGGATTACTATGCAGTATTTAACAGGTGTAAATCCTGTCATTTGGGACAATGCATATGAACCTGCAGGACATTGTGCTACGTGAAATAAATCAGGCACAAAATGATAAATATCACATGATCTCAGTCATATATTGAATCTGAAAGTCATGTAAGTTCAGGAGAGCTATTGTCTAAATGTAGAAATCATAATTAATAACAGTGTATACTTGAAAATGATTAAGACTTTAATAATTTAGACTTTAAATATTCCCACAGAAAGGTAATATGTAAGGTAATGGATATGTTAATTAGCTGAATTTAGCCATTCCACAGTGTGAGTGTGTGTGTATGTGTGTGTGTGGTGTGTGTATGTATGTATATATAAACATGTCTGCTATAATTATATACAATCTGTATTTGTCGATTAAAAAATAAGTAAAAATCATTTAGAAACACTTTGAAATATTTTATAGATTTTAATTCTATTAAAAGTACTTATGTTTGCCTTATATTTGATTTCCTTTGGATTTGACCAATTTCTTTTTACTTTTTATGCTTTTTAAAATAACTTTATTTAAGTATTAGTGACCTAAAAAGAACAGCAAGTGTTTGAAGTGTACAACTGCTAAGTGTTGGCATATGTGTATATCTGTGAAACCATATCCACGGTCAAAACAATGCACATTCAGATGTTTCCTTGGGATCTTTTATAATCTCTCCTCCTGCCCCTTATCATTTGTCGGAGTCCTCTCCCATCAAAGTCAGTCTCCAGGCAACTGCTAACTTGCTGTCACTATAGATTAGCTTGTACTTCCTAGAATTTTATGAGATGGAATTATACAGTATATTCCTTTTTTGTCTGCCTTATTTTATTCAACATAAATATTTTGAGACTTGTCCATGTTGTAGCATGTATCCATAGTTCATTATTTTGCTTGCTGAATGTTAATCTACTGTGTGGATGTACAAGAATCTGTTAACCCTTCAGCTATTGATGGGCATCTGGCTTGTTTCTAAATAAAGTTGCTATGAACATTTGTGTAACCTAATTTTTTTGTTGCTGAGATTTGGGGTTTAGGAAAACAGATCTTAACTTCACTGACTGATAAACAGAAAAATAAGATTAACTTAAAAAAAAACTTCATGGAGAGCAAGTGTTAAGCAGTAAGAGGTTAATATGATTCTGCCAAGTCAGTTGATGTGCCGCTGACAGCCTGCCTTGGCTTCAGCCCACATTATGCTTCCTGACTAAGTGAATCATGTCAGGAGTCTTAGGCGTATCAGTGGCGCAATGTTGAACACAGTTGCTGATTTATGAATTCCTTGAAAGACAGACTCAGGCTCCTAATAGTGCGGACGTGATGTGACAGGGTTACACTGCTATTATTCTCTGGGCACTGACCCTACGGTCTGGCTGCCTCCTATCCTCTGAAGCTCAGGTCTGTTGTACTTATAATTCTACAAAACAATTTTTTGTCCTCTGGCCTGCTGCCATGAATCTAGGCCAAATTCCTGTTTTCAAAGTTTTGCCAACACACATTATCTGTTTTTTTCACACCAATTCAAGCTGCTGCAATAGAATCTGCTTTTGGATTTGGCCAGCCTGGTCTTCTCTTGGGAAACATTAACACATGACTGACAAGTTAATAGAGGGCAAAAATTGATTGCAGAGGTTTGGGCCTAACTATAGATTTTATTTTGGCTTGTTTACAAGTATGCTATAAGCTGTAGAAGTAAACTGTGAATATTGGTCAATTATTTTTGAAGGCCTTGTGAGTTTCTTTAAGCTATTTAACAGATGATTTTCCCACTGTAGACATGCTCCTGGTGTCTGCAAATCCCTTCGACTTTCACTTTTGCTCTTGTGGAGAAATTGCTGTGGAGAGCTTGGATGATGCTGAAGAACTGCTAGCCACAGAAGTAAGGATTATTAATTGTTAAAGTCTGATACTGACAATGAAAAAGGAACAAAAGCATCTTAGAGTTCCATTTTTCTTAAGGGAAAGTGGCTTTGCTTCCCCTGAAGGTGGATGGGTGGAGGGTTGTTATTGCATACTTACTGTAAACATTGTCCGTGCAGTATTGATAACTTTGAGAAAGAAAAATGAGAAAGACTGTATTTTAAATAATAATTTTTATATTGATTAAAAAATCTCTTTTAATTAAAAGAGAAGAGAGAGAGAAAAAGAGACCAAGAAAGCGAACCACAAGGTCTGGAACTTGAACTGCAGTCAGCCATGTAGGAGTCCAGCTCCTTGACCATGCCAGCTGTTGGCCCCCCAAAAACATATTTCAACTCAACTTCTTTTATTTGGTGTTTATATTTGCAGTATTTATTGTTTTTATTTATTTGAGATTGCTTTTAAATGGTCATTTTTGTGTTTTCTTTGTTTGTTTTCCATTTTGCCAGAGAGCATGTGCACTCACCATTGAGAGAGACAGAGAGAGAGAGAAAGCACTCTCCAATGAGGCATGGTCATATTGCAGTCTCTCACCTTCATTTCTGCATTGTGTTGGAATTTGGGGCATGCATATACACGCACCTAATATGTTTTTCAAGTCACTGGAGCAGGGATTTGATGTACACTTTGTGGGCTCTGGCTCCCTCAACCACCAGGCCTCCAAGTCAGCCCCATTTTGGTGTTATGTTCTGCTTTTTTTTTTTTCCCTTTTTTTTTAGAGAGAGATTTTTTTGCTATAGGCTGTGTGTGCTCACTGGAGAGACAGAGAGAGAGAGACAGAGACAGAAAGCAAGAAATCACCCCACAGAAGGGATGGTCATGCCTCAATCTCTTCTCCTCCATTGTCCTCTCAGGATTTTGGTCATGCATGCACATGTGCTCCATGTGAGTTTTTAAGACGGCAGGTCTGGCAGTCAAACCACAATCAATTACATGGGAGTTCAAAGGATGTCATCATGACACCATCTGTTGGTCCCTGTTGTTGTTTTTAATTTAATTACAGGGCACAAGTGCTCACCAGAGAGTAAGAGAGATAAAACAAGAAAGCACCCCTTCATGGGGCATGGTCATACCACAATCTCTTTTCCTCCATTTCACCCTTCTTTCAGGATTTTGAGCCTGCATGCATTCCTTGAAAGACAGACTCAGGCTCCTAATAGTGCGGACGTGATGTGACAGGGTTACACTGCTATTATTCTCTGGGCACTGACCCTACGGTCTGGCTGCCTCCTATCCTCTGAAGCTCAGGTCTGTTGTACTTATAATTCTACAAAACAATTTTTTGTCCTCTGGCCTGCTGCCATGAATCTAGGCCAAATTCCTGTTTTCAAAGTTTTGCCAACACACATTATCTGTTTTTTTCACACCAATTCAAGCTGCTGCAATAGAATCTGCTTTTGGATTTGGCCAGCCTGGTCTTCTCTTGGGAAACATTAACACATGACTGACAAGTTAATAGAGGGCAAAAATTGATTGCAGAGGTTTGGGCCTAACTATAGATTTTATTTTGGCTTGTTTACAAGTATGCTATAAGCTGTAGAAGTAAACTGTGAATATTGGTCAATTATTTTTGAAGGCCTTGTGAGTTTCTTTAAGCTATTTAACAGATGATTTTCCCACTGTAGACATGCTCCTGGTGTCTGCAAATCCCTTCGACTTTCACTTTTGCTCTTGTGGAGAAATTGCTGTGGAGAGCTTGGATGATGCTGAAGAACTGCTAGCCACAGAAGTAAGGATTATTAATTGTTAAAGTCTGATACTGACAATGAAAAAGGAACAAAAGCATCTTAGAGTTCCATTTTTCTTAAGGGAAAGTGGCTTTGCTTCCCCTGAAGGTGGATGGGTGGAGGGTTGTTATTGCATACTTACTGTAAACATTGTCCGTGCAGTATTGATAACTTTGAGAAAGAAAAATGAGAAAGACTGTATTTTAAATAATAATTTTTATATTGATTAAAAAATCTCTTTTAATTAAAAGAGAAGAGAGAGAGAAAAAGAGACCAAGAAAGCGAACCACAAGGTCTGGAACTTGAACTGCAGTCAGCCATGTAGGAGTCCAGCTCCTTGACCATGCCAGCTGTTGGCCCCCCAAAAACATATTTCAACTCAACTTCTTTTATTTGGTGTTTATATTTGCAGTATTTATTGTTTTTATTTATTTGAGATTGCTTTTAAATGGTCATTTTTGTGTTTTCTTTGTTTGTTTTCCATTTTGCCAGAGAGCATGTGCACTCACCATTGAGAGAGACAGAGAGAGAGAGAAAGCACTCTCCAATGAGGCATGGTCATATTGCAGTCTCTCACCTTCATTTCTGCATTGTGTTGGAATTTGGGGCATGCATATACACACACCTAATATGTTTTTCAAGTCACTGGAGCAGGGATTTGATGTACACTTTGTGGGCTCTGGCTCCCTCAACCACCAGGCCTCCAAGTCAGCCCCATTTTGGTGTTCTGTTCTGCTTTTTTTTTTTTTCCCCCTTTTTTTTTAGAGAGAGATTTTTTTGCTATAGGCTGTGTGTGCTCACTGGAGAGACAGAGAGAGAGAGACAGAGACAGAAAGCAAGAAATCACCCCACAGAAGGGATGGTCATGCCTCAATCTCTTCTCCTCCATTGTCCTCTCAGGATTTTGGTCATGCATGCACATGTGCTCCATGTGAGTTTTTAAGACGGCAGGTCTGGCAGTCAAACCACAATCAATTACATGGGAGTTCAAAGGATGTCATCATGACACCATCTGTTGGTCCCTGTTGTTGTTTTTAATTTAATTACAGGGCACAAGTGCTCACCAGAGAGTAAGAGAGATAAAACAAGAAAGCACCCCTTCATGGGGCATGGTCATACCACAATCTCTTTTCCTCCATTTCACCCTTCTTTCAGGATTTTGAGCCTGCATGCGTGTGTGCCTAATATCTTTTGCAAGACATCTAGTCTGGGGCTTAAACCTTGCATTTGGCCATGTGGGACACTGCAGTCACTTTAATCACCATTCTATGGGCTGACTGTTCTTATTTGTTTTAACAAAAGAGTGTAATCATGCTATATATTCTATTTCATATATAGAATTTGCTTATCTAATTTAATTTTATAGGCATTCCAGGTATCATTTAATCATTTCATAAATATTTAAATGGATACTTACTATTTTATCAAGCATTCTTCCCAGAGTTTATTGAGCCATTTTTCTACTGTTAGACTCTAGTTTTCTGTTTCCTCATTGTGGAAAGTATCTTCATAAGCAAATACTTTTTCTGTATATCATATTCACCTTATGCTAGATTCCTAGAAGTGACACTCCAAGGTAAGAATTATGAATTTTTTATAATCTCTTGATACATATTTAAAATTAACCACTAGAAGGATTGTACCAGTTCCCACCCTCCTGGAATGTAGGAGAATGCCTCTTGACCAGGCGTAGCAGTTTCTTAGAATGAGATTCTACCGTGAGGTGGCATTTCTTTTCTTAAACACTTCTTTTTCCCAGTTTTTTAAATGTGTCTACTCTGAAATAAAGTCAGAACATACAGAATCAGAGAAATAAGCAATCTAGCCCTTATGACACTTTCTGCCATAGCCAAGAAAGGCAAAATAATCAACCTCTGACAGCCAGTTGGTTGTCTGTGGCTGGAAGGGAGAGGAGTAACACAGAGCAATGAAGGAAAGTTCTGAAACTACTGGAACTAAACAAGCCAGTCTTAAACCTTCCTAACTCTCTTTCAAGGGGTTGGGATGACTGCAGGCAACCAAGTGCCAACAGGGCTGATTTGCATGGCTTTGAACGGGACTGTCACACCTCAGTCTGTGGCATAGTCTCATTCCCTGCAGCCCACAGCTTGAAAGTGGGGAGGCGTGGCACGCAGCAGGAGGGAGGCGCTTACTGCAGCTATTAGGCAAATGAAGGCACAGCCATCTGTTTCTCTTTCACAGAGAGCAATGGACATCTTGGGCTTTCTTCCTGAGGAGAAGTATGGGTGCTATAAACTTACCGGAGCCATCATGCACTTTGGAAATATGAAATTTAAACAGAAACCCAGAGAAGAGCAACTGGAAGCAGATGGCACAGAGAGTAAGAATTCCTTTGAAGATGGGACTTAGGGTTCTTTTTCAATTCTTGACCCAGGCCCCCTCCAGTTTGCTTGCAGTTGACTTGGCCTCTCGGTCTGGGGAAATTACTGACATTAATCAATACCAGCTCCCTGGATTGCCATTCCTCAAAATCTCTCTACTACCCTCATGATGCAGATTCCATCCACTGCAGAATAAGAAGTACTCTTCAATGAATAATTAACAATGCTAGTGAGTTTGCTAAACTGAGGTAAAAGAGGATTGACTAAACTGCAGTTTGCCCTCAGCACATAGACTATAGAGAAAACAGAAAGGGCTAAATCACCATAAGATGTAGCGAGTGGCATGAACAAAGACCCAGGGAATTCCAAAGGCAAAGTAACTCCACAGGGTGAGACCTGGTTGGTTTTTTCATTCCTCTTTGAAAAATCTATAGTCTTGCCTGCTTACCAAAAAGATTTGAGGCCTCTTATAATGAGTGACCTGTCTAGAAAAATTATGAAAATAGGAAGCCACGATATGTAAAGAAGGACAGTTTTATAATTATTATAATTAATATTCAAAATATCTGCAACTGAAACAAAAGGAGAATACCCAGCCATTCAAATCCTTCCACTAGTAGGGTCTAGAAGATGGTGTAGTGATTATGTCACTGTACTCCCACATGGACAATAACAGTTCAAGTCCTGGGCCCAGTGGCTTAAACTCATGCCAGGAATGTGTGCATGCTTGCCCACGATCCCCAGAGGTGAATGGAGGAGAAGGGATTGCAGCATGGCCATCCCTCTGGGGGGTGACTTCTCGCTTTGTATCTCTCCAGTAAGTGCATGCCTCGTCTCCATGCCATAATAGCAAAAATCTCTCTAAAAACAAAACAAAGCAAAAAAACCCTTCCACAAGTAACTTTTGTAAAAAAAGTTCTATTTTAATTGTGGTAAAATATACATAATATGAAATTTATCATTTTGGTCATTTTCAAGTGTTTGGTGCAACAGCATTAAATACATTCACACTGTGTGCAACCATCACTGCTATTCATCTCTAGAACATTTTAATCATCCCTAACTGAAACTCCTGTACTCACTAAACGAAAGCTCCCCATCACCATTTCCGCCCACTGCCCTTGGCAATTCTATAAATTTGATTAAGTACTACATGGAAGTGGAATCATACAGTATGTATCTCTTCATGTCTGGCTTATTTACTTAGTATAGTGCCCTCATGCTTCACATCTGTTGTGGTATATATAAGAATTTTATCCCTTTTTAAGAATGAGTAGTATTCTATTGTACATATATACCACATTTTGTTTATCTATTCATCAGTGAATGGACACTTGCATTGCTTCCATTTTTTAGTCACTGTGATTAATGCTTACATGAATGCTGGTACATAAATAATCTGTTTGTGCCCGTGCTCTCAATTCTCTTCAGTTTCTTTCAATAAGCAGGAGAGCAATTGCTGGATTAAATGGTAATTCTATGTTGTTATTTAAAAATTTTTTGAGGGCACGTGTGCTTCCCAGAGAGAGAGAAGAGAGGGAGTTAGCACACCCACAACAAGGCATGATCATGGCACAATCCCTTCCCCTCCGTTTCTCCATCCTGTTAGAAATTTGAGCACACACACACAAGCTCTCAGCATGTTTTCCAAGCTGCCAGGAACAGGGTTTGAACTTTGTGGTCAGCCATGTGGTATCTGGTCCTTTAACCACTAGGCCGCAGTGCTAGCCTGATAATTCTATTTTGAGAAAACCTCATACTATTTTCCCTAGTTACTGTATATTTTACATTTCTACCATCAATGTACAAGTGTTTTATTCTTCACATCAATGCTACACTTCTTTTCTGTTTTTGTTCTTTGGTAATGCCATCTTAATGTGTGTAAAGTGCATTTCCCTAATGATTGGTGATGCTGAGCATCTTTTCAAGTGCTTATTGGCCATTTGTATGTCTTCTTTTGAAAAATGCTTATTCAAGACCTTTGCCCTAATTTTATATTTTAGCTTTTTATTATAGGGCATGTGTACTCACCCAGGAGAGATAGAGGAAGTAAGAAATCACTTCCCAGGGGAATGGCCATGATGCAATTCCCTTTCCTCCATTCTCCTCTCAGGATTTTTGGTATGCACATACAGAAATTTATCATTTTGGTCATTTTCAAGTGTTTGGTGCAACAGCATTAAATACATTCACACTGTGTGCAACCATCACTGCTATTCATCTCTAGAACATTTTAATCATCCCTAACTGAAACTCCTGTACTCACTAAACGAAAGCTCCCCATCACCATTTCCGCCCACTGCCCTTGGCAATTCTATAAATTTGATTAAGTACTACATGGAAGTGGAATCATACAGTATGTATCTCTTCATGTCTGGCTTATTTACTTAGTATAGTGCCCTCATGCTTCACATCTGTTGTGGTATATATAAGAATTTTATCCCTTTTTAAGAATGAGTAGTATTCTATTGTACATATATACCACATTTTGTTTATCTATTCATCAGTGAATGGACACTTGCATTGCTTCCATTTTTTAGTCACTGTGATTAATGCTTACATGAATGCTGGTACATAAATAATCTGTTTGTGCCCGTGCTCTCAATTCTCTTCAGTTTCTTTCAATAAGCAGGAGAGCAATTGCTGGATTAAATGGTAATTCTATGTTGTTGTTATTTAAAAATTTTTTGAGGGCACATGTGCTTCCCAGAGAGAGAGAAGAGAGGGAGTTAGCACACCCACAACAAGGCATGATCATGGCACAATCCCTTCCCCTCCGTTTCTCCATCCTGTTAGAAATTTGAGCACACACACACAAGCTCTCAGCATGTTTTCCAAGCTGCCAGGAACAGGGTTTGAACTTTGTGGTCAGCCATGTGGTATCTGGTCCTTTAACCACTAGGCCGCAGTGCTAGCCTGATAATTCTATTTTGAGAAAACCTCATACTATTTTCCCTAGTTACTGTATATTTTACATTTCTACCATCAATGTACAAGTGTTTTATTCTTCACATCAATGCTACACTTCTTTTCTGTTTTTGTTCTTTGGTAATGCCATCTTAATGTGTGTAAAGTGCATTTCCCTAATGATTGGTGATGCTGAGCATCTTTTCAAGTGCTTATTGGCCATTTGTATGTCTTCTTTTGAAAAATGCTTATTCAAGACCTTTGCCCTAATTTTATATTTTAGCTTTTTATTATAGGGCATGTGTACTCACCCAGGAGAGATAGAGGAAGTAAGAAATCACTTCCCAGGGGAATGGCCATGATGCAATTCCCTTTCCTCCATTCTCCTCTCAGGATTTTTGGTATGCACATACATGCACCTGGCATGTTTTATAAGCTGCTGGGTCCAGGACTCAACCATGGAGTCAGCTACATGGAATCCAGCACCTTAACCCCACACCATCTGCTGATCCTTGCCCTATTTTTAATTAGGTTGTTTTTTCTTGTTTGCAAATAATATTTGAGGTCAATCTGTGCTAGAGATTATTTTTGATGCTAGGGATACATCTGTGAACAAAATATTGTTCCTAATGTGGGAGATAAACAATACATATGCAAACAGATAAATATATAGCTAGTCATAGTGAAAAGAAAAGAAAGCAAAGTAAAAGGTTAAAGAGTAATGGCAGATGAGGGTTGCTGTTAGTAAGTGGTCCAAAGGCCCACTGAGAGAAGAGGGTGCTTGAGAACAGAGAAAACAAGATGAGGGAATTCACACGATGTGAAGATCTTGTAAATAGTCTATGTATTAACTTATTAATGTATGCTTTAATGCCATCCTTTTTTCTTTTCTTTTTTTAATTGTCAGAAGGTGCATGTGCTTATAGCAGGGTTGGAGGGAGGGAAAGCACCTCCCAATGAAGCATGGCCATATCACAATCTCTTTTCCTCCATTTCTCCATCCTGTTGGGATTTGGGCATACATTCATATGCACCTAGTGAGTTTTTCAGGTTGCTGGATCCAGAATTTGAACCAAGTTCAGTCAGATGAGATCTGGCTTCTGATACACTTCACTTAACCACTGCACTATAGGGCTGGCCCTTTGGGCATTGCTTTTTTATTTGGTCATTATTTTCTTGCCTTTTCCTTTTCCAAAATACTTTGTTTCAAAGAAACAAAAGCAGAAAATACAAATGAGGAAATAAAATACAGATAGTCCCTGATTTATTATAGCTTGATTTAGGATTTCTCAATGTTATGACGGTATAGGCTGACATTTGTTTCGTTTTTGTTTTTAGGTCACTGTGACTTTGGCTTAAAATACTAAGGATCACATTTTGTTTTCACTTTCATTACAGTATTCACTAAATTACATGAGACAGGCTTTATTGTGAGGTAGGCTTTGTATTATACAATTTTGCCTAACTACAGGTTACAGTAATTGTCTAGGCACATTTAAGATAGGATAGGCTACACTACAATTTGGGGGAGGTTAGGCGTATTTAATGCATTTTCAATTTACAGCAGGTTTATGGGGATATAACCCCATTGTAAATTAAAGAGCATCTGTAGTAATCTCATCTCTCTGGTGGCTCCTGTATAGCTTCTCTGCCAGAGCATCTTCATCTTCCCTACTTGGTATAGAGCTACAGGACTTAATCCTTGAATCTTATTTCTTAAGTGATCACCTTAAAATCAACATGTATAGAGCTGAAATTTATCCCAGCCTGCCTATGCAACTAAACTCTTTATTTCTCAGTCTTTTTTTTTTAAGAGAAATTTTTTTGTATAGGCTGTGCACACTCACTGGAAAGACAGAGAGAGTCAGAGACAGAGTGAGAAATCACCCCCCAGAGGAGATGGCCACGCCACAATCTCTTCTCCTCCATTCTGCTCTTGGGATCTTGGGTACAAACACACATGCAACTGGTGTGAGTTTTAAGTTACTAGGTCTAGGACTTGAACTGCAGTTGACTATGTGGGAGTCCAGTGATCCAGTGATGTAACCATTATGTCATCTGAGGGTCCCCATTTCTTAGTCATCTTAATCAA